ACAAGGATAAAACAAAACAAAAAAAAAAAAGACAGACATAGCACTTTTGAACTTACAACACCAGTACTTCAAATGTCATCTACTGTCAAAGCAATGTCTAACTCAAGGAGACATGGGGAACTTTGCATCAGTGGTGCCAATGCTGGAAAATTGTTTGACATGAGCTGGCCAATATAGGGAGTAGTGTAATGCCATGACACTATCTCTAATTTCTTGTCTGTATCCATACCATCAATTTGCAGAATAAGAAGCTTGAAGAATTCTGAAAACATACGTGGCTCCTTTACTGGAAGATAAATCCCCCAGAACTTCTGCTCAGCTTCATAAGGACTGAAGGTACAGGGCAGGGGGTATTCAATCTTTGAAGGGTATAAGTTTGTAAGAAGTCAATTACTGTGGTATTTTAGAAGGAGGAATTTGAAGAAAATTGCCCTTAAATCTATGACTCATTTTCTCCCGGATGCTATGAAATTCTCCTTTTGACAGATTAAAAAGCAGTGCAAAAGAATTAGTGTGTTGGAATCAGCAAAAGCATGAGAAAACAGGCTAAGGTTTGGCTGCTTTAATCTAGGCAGCAATTAGCTGTAATTCTATGCATGGGAAAGTTCAGCTATTGGCACCTGAAAAAGGTAAACCAGCAGAAACTGCAGCTGTTCTTGTTAAATGTGCTCAGAGAACTTCTGTGAGTTGTCTTGATGGTACCAATTTAGAATACCACAACCTACACTGATAAGAAATGCTACTGAGAAATTTGACGACTCTGTGCTCTTTTAAACTTCACATAATCTTTAGGCCACATCTTGAATTTGTTGCTCATGCTTTTATGAATGTTAAAAAGAGATGGAACATCTAAGCAGGAGTTGCAGGACTTGGCTTCTGACTATTGAGGTGACCATATCTAATATGTATCTATTAAGTATAACCATCACCTGAAGGCAAACATACACAGGTGAAGTGAATATGGAAGAAGGGTGTATGAAAGTTGAGATATTATTGAGTTAAATTCACCATCCTCCCTGATTTTATCTTAAAAATGGAGCCATCAAAATTTCCCAAAGAGACTTCTTACTCTTGAAAAAAATTATTACTTAGTGATACTTTATCTCTTTAACTGAAATTCCAACTGGAAAATACATTAGAAGTATTTAAATATTTCTAATAGCTTGTGAGAGTTTGAAAGTTTTCAGTCCTATTCAGTAACAAACTAAATTTTAAATTCCATCTGGGGAATAGCAACATCATGTTTTAACTTATTCAAGTCAAACCAGTGCTAAAGAGATAAAATAAGGATTTGCAATTTCCTCCCCTTTAAAGGTGATCTTGGTTCAGTAGAGACATATTCCTGATCACATTTTTTTGTCTCAAAAGTGAAGGCTGTAATTAAAAAAGAAAAAAAGAAAACCAATACTGTGGCAAATGTATAAAGTGGGTTACTATAGAGTTGCACAAAATGACCTTCTGAAGTTAAAGGAGAAGCTGAAACAGCCAATAATTGAAATGTCATCAGAGGAACTAGCTGCTAAGAAAAAGCAAATATTTAAAGATGAGAAATATTTAACAATTCATTGGATTAATTTCTCTGCCAAGTTCATCAGAAGCAAATATATTTCTGTTTGATGTCAGGGACATCAGGTAGAATCTGACTAACCTTATGGGCATAAAACAACCTTGGAGGCCTCTTTAGCCCAAAAGAATTTTAATGCAGAAGTCCTGTCAGTGAACATGTATTTTTTTCAGTGAGGTAGATCCACCTTGGTGTTGAAGACAAAGAATTGCATTTTATGAAAGAAAGTTATGACTTCTGTACGAATAACTGCTTGTTCTTCCATCAGTTACTGCTTGCTCTGAAGGAACTGCTGTTCTAGAAGAATCCACCTCTTAATTACAAACTAAGTATGAGATACTCCTGTTGCTTGACATACACAAGATCTACATCCCTTCAGGGAGCTGTTCTGAGTTTTGCTCTTCTCCTTCACTGGTTCCTTACCATCTTTACTCCATGGAAATATCATCGTGTTTAAGCAACAATCACAAATTTTAATTAGATTATTTCAAGGTGATTCCTGCTCCATTTTCTTTATCTCTAGCCTAATTGCACAGGCTTAGCAAAGGTGTGTACTTTCACATTTTCAGTCTACTGATTCAAACTGCAACAAAGCCTCATACTGAAAAGGCTGAGTCTTAGCTGGATAATAATTCATTTTAAAGAAAAAAAGCCTGGGAATAGGTCTCTGGAGAAAGTCTGTCTATGCAATGCCTTGCAATTATTAAGAATTCCAGTTCCTGCTAATTCTTCCTAATGACACAGTGGGAATAAAGCTGCTCCATGGAAAGAGGTCAGTGCCCTGGTGAAGACAGATGGATGGATCTCACTCAGTACTTCATCTCCATTCTCTTGAAGGAGTTGGGATCTCTGGGAGCCAAGTCAGTGAAGTGAGGGCAGCACCTATCATTACTGACCAAATCACTGCACAGACAGTCCTCAGGCCTGCTGCCTGCTGGTGGGTGTCACTGCCCATGCTGGGGCACAAGAAACCCTCAACTGCTGTCATTTTTGCTATACCTGAAAGGTTCACCTTTGGTGCTTCTTTCATTGGACTAGCTTGTGGAATTAATAGCTGTGTTGAAAACTGCAAAACCTCAGCCATATATTTCAGTTCAGTCAGAATTTTATCTCTGTGTGTACTACTACTTTTAGAAAGAAATATAAACGTACTATGAATAACACTAATGACAATGTCTGTTCCATTATGTTAAATGAAAAAGATGATTTGGATATGTTTACTGTAGCCCATGATTTAACTTACACATAACTGAACTGGTTAAATTTACCTATCTGTATGTACATCCTGTATTTGGACAGTTCCTATATTATTGTTATATGGCTAAAATTAATCTTTTAAAGGAATATATAAAGCCCAGGCTAATCTCGTTCATTCAGCACTCAACATGTGGCATTTCACTGACTAAAAGGGGAAAAAAGTTAAATAATTTGTATACTTGACTAGTGCAGCAAATGACTGCATTGATAAGGTCACCATGCTAAATTGACATCATCCCCACCACATCCAACTCCGAAAAATCCTCTAATATTTGCACGGTGATGCTTGTAAAGACTTCATTATGAAGTGTCAGACTCCTGGGGTCTTTTTTTCCTTTCCCTGTTTAATAACGAATTCAATTTTTTAAATCAAGAATTCAGTATGCTTTTAATTTACAGGAGAAAAAGATTGAGTGCTCTGGGAACATGGCTACCTGTATACAACACCATTTTTTCCTCTACTACATACAAATTCTATTTCCAAAGGTAACTCTCATTGAATCTGATAACTAGTACTTTCTTTTGTCATCAGAACCTAATTAGGTTGTTATTTACAGTATAAATGATCAATAGCTTTTATTCTGGATCACACAGTGTCAAAGCTCTAATAATTGGTATTAACTCCAACAGAGATACTGTAATCAAACCAAATATAAAAAATCTTCAAAAAGGATGTACTATACTGGGAGATGATAAAAATTCCTGATACTGCCTAAAATGTTTAGTGCTGAATACAAACAACATTTTAAAGAAAGCTTTGTGGATCAAAGACGGACTTAATAATTGTAATGTTTATTAATTTGTTTTGAAAATATTTTTAACTGGATAATGTCAAACTTTTGAATTAAAAAGCTACGTTCATTAGCAATTCAATAGGTTATACTATCAACTCCTTTTGACATGAAAGAATTTGATTCATTTTTTAAATCATGAATCTCATAATCTTTTTTCTGCTGCCACTAGTTTTCGATAATTTGATTACCTTCTGCAAGAACAAGAACCACATGGGCTTTGCTGGTAATGATGGGCTATATATCTCTTCTCTGAATGCAGCTCTGCTGCCTTTGAAAGTAATTTGCAGTTTCTTATCAACACAGAATTAAAGAGTAATATTGTCTAATTTGTTATGTTGGGTGGCACAAAGTATTGTAGAACTCTATCACATACACATCGCTTTGAAACCTATATTATGTGATCATAATCAAGAGTACATAAATGAATATCAAAATTTATGAAAGTGTTTATTACTGGCTAACACAAAACTCAAAATATGAACTTGTCAATAGGTTTAATAATCCCTAAGATGTGTATTTTGCACACTCCCAAACTTCATTGCAGTATATAAAACAGTAATTTGTACTTTATGGTTGCATTGCAAATAACCAATCTGGACATTTCAGAGCAGGATGGGGCATAATTGTGTAAGTTTCAGTGTAAATCTGTAAATTCAACATGATGAACTCCTTGCTTGGCAAAGTTATCTTCTACTTCCAATAGAAACAAAAACTGATTACTGTTGATCATTTAGACATAACTGCTTGTAACAGTCAACAAGCCATCACAGTAAGGTATAAAGACAGCCCTTAGGAGAAATGCTGCCTATTTGATGACATTTAAAGCTTTAAAGAATTCCTTCTAGATACTGCAGGAAATAATCATACGCCAGCACAGGCTGCCAATGTCACTGAATGAGAACCAAGTGACTAAATCATGTATACTGGCAATATTGCCATCCAAACCCTTAAAATAATTTATGGAACTGATCTTGCAAACAGTTCATCATGTTAGCAATGCCAAGGTCTGCAGTAGGAACCATCAGGGTGTGAAAAGTCTGTCACGTGGTGGGTGGGTGTGCATGATGCTGCCTTGTAATCGAATCAACCGTCCCTTTGTGTTGATTTTAGCAGTCTAAGAAATTCAATCACAATTTAAATTATATCCTACTACCCCTCATCCCTCTGCAAGGTTGTGATAAGAGAAGTAAGGCATGAAGTTCCTGTAACTTTTTGATCTGACATTATCAGCTATGTATAAACAGATGATGGTTTAGTACAGCAAATAAATTTTATGTCTTTTTTTATTAAACAAACAGTGTAATAACTGGACTATATTATCACAATGGAAGCATAGAAGACCATAGACTGTACAGCTGAAACCCTGTAGCAAAATTTGTTCCTCAAATTTAAAGAAATGTAACTTTATCAAGCTTTCACAATGGCTGCTTCTTGCTAATTTAAAGAATCTTCACTCGTTAAGGCTAGATGATTATAATTAAAATATAAATGTACTGTTAGAAGGTTCTATGCCACACTCTATTTTTATGAGGATTTAACTGAAAGACATACATTATACCTGCATGTGAATTATAATGGCTTCTTAGCAGGGAACGCAGAATCACTTACAGTACGTAAACATTTAAAGAGGAAAATGCTAACACACTGAAAGAGTTTCACATCAGTAGCGATTTCTCAAATGAAGAAGTTTCATAAAGTCCACTCTCTGGGAGAACATTCACCATTAGACAAAAGCCTGGCATCCTTGATAGTCTGAAGTTCAATCAATTCGAAAACCAAAACCATTCAATGAGAGAAACAGGATCTTAAGAAAACTGCCATCTTCCTTCTCAGGTAAAAGCCAGAATTAAAATAATAATTATTAAAATAATCCAACCAGATTGGTTTACAGGCAAATTTACACACTGTCTCTTTAAAACACTGCATGCCCAAAAGCCTTTTGGGTTTGGAATGTAGCACTGCACCAAGTATTTCACAAAGCCTCTAAATATCACAAGAAGCTTTTTTTTAGAGAGAAAAAAAGTAAAATTCCAGCTGACTGAGACTGTTCTAGCAGGAGTGCCTCAGCTTAGCTCCCAGACCTGGAATTCCAGATAAACAACAGAGGACAGCAAACAGACTTTTTTTTTTTTTTTTTTTTAAACACGTCCTTTTGTAATGCGGCTACAAGACGACTGATGAGCTTAGGGACAAACAGAGTGAGAGTGCAAGTGTCATCAGAGTGAGCTGTGTGCTTAGATTGAAGCTTGTAGGAAGAGCGAGTGAATTCTCTGCAGATATGTGACTGGTGGAGACTCCTGCTGTGTTGTCCTTCCCAATAGCATTCTGTAAGACACAATACTTTCCTTGGTCACCATTACACAATTTCATCGCAAAACATTCATGTTTACATTTACACCATGAAATTCATCTTTGGTTTGCTCATGTCCCACACTCCACTGTTACCTATACATCATTTGCACAAATTGAAAGATTAAAAAAAGGCATCAAAAGACATGTCAAAATGACAACATTCTGAAATTAGTTTAAAGCATAAAAACACCAGTACAGCACAATTAAAAAAAAAAAAAAAAAAAGAGAATTAAAAATTTCCTACTTTAACAATGTTTCTATGTGTAAATTAATATCCTACCCTTCCACAAACAGATCTTTGGCTGTATGACAGACAGTAGTACACTCCTCATTTAAAAAAAAAAAAAAAAAAAGAGAATTAAAAATTTCCTACTTTAACAATGTTTCTATGTGTAAAATGTATGGCAATTTTTTTTAGGGATCTGTGTTTATCATGCCAGTTTATTTTAAAAGAGCAAAAGCAGGACCCACAGAGAAACTGCAACTTATGCAGAGTCAACAGAACAACTTTGTCTAACAACAAGTTACTTCCGCATAACAACAAATAAACTCTAATCCATGGGCTCAGAAAAGACAAAGTTTTCCAGCTTCTGAAAATTTTCTTTCCTGCTCCTTTTTTTCCCCTTAATTGCTGCATTATTTACATTCTTTGGCATCTTTGCTACCAATAATTAAACAGTATTCACATGTCAGTACAAATTGGCAGACTATAATGAACTATTTAAAGAGCAGATATAGCAGGAATCTCTGTCATTGCAATCATGCTGAGTAAAAAGAAAAATCTAACCGATATAATCACAAAAGTGAAACAATTTTGACTAGAGATCATTAAGCCCAATCTACTCCATGCAAAGTTGCTCAGATTCTGTCCACTCAGGATCTGAAAATCCCCAAGGACGCAGCTTCTATAGAGGGGACAAGCTTCTTCAATCCTGGAGAGTCAATCAGGCCATGGTACAAGGTACAAGTACCCAGAATACCAGATACAAAGAATGAGTACAAAGCAACAGTTTCCATGGTAGTGACTGTCTACAGAGCCAGGGAGGTATTTATGGATAAATCTCCATGTATTCCTCCACTTGGGTATCACTTGCTAGGACTGGCTGACTGGAAGGTCTTGAGATGCAAACTTTTAGAAGCAGCAGAGGCATTGGAGAATTATCACAATATGCTTTCTTGCACTCATGTCTGGGCATCTCCTTTTTGGAAACTGTCATGGACAGGGTATAGGGTAAGATGGACCAGTAGTTCTTATGGTTAGCTATAGTTACCAGGACCTTCTCATGTAAGGTCTTAGTCAGCACAAGATGTCAACAGATGTGTTAACCTTACTGCATTGTTCCTTCATATGTTACTAGACTTCATTTTAGTATCTACAGGGAAATTCCTAAGAGAACCTAAAGAATTAGGAATGGGCTACAGAACTGCCATTGTGTAGAAGAACTGGACAAATTTGGTCTGGTGAAGGAGAATTTGAATGATACAGACACATCCTTTTCATGCCTTATGGCTGCGCAGCTGGTCTTGCTCCAATGTCTAGGCTATGTGGTCCCACCTTGTAAAAATTATTTTATGTGTGCCACTAATTATTAAGCTTCCAGAGAGACCCAGTACAAACGATATGGGTTGACAAACATGGAAGCTGATTTAATGCTTATGTCTGACAGAGGCCTTTGAGGTCAGGCTGAGCAGACTACTCGAACAGCACTGGGAGGTTCATGTCTCAAGTCTGTCAATCTGTTGCCTGGTGATGGGAACATCATTTCATGCCCTAAATCAGCCATTTGTTTTAACCACAGAATGATGACCAGTGTGTTTCTGAGTATTTGCTAAAACCCGTATGATCTTATGTTCCTGCAGATTATTAAACAAACATATTTGCTAGGTGCAGTGGTGATTATTATAGGATCTGCCTAAAACATGTACTATGCAGCTATTAAAATATAAAGACACCTGTGCTGTGAAATATACAGGATTCACGCTCTTACCTCATTAAGACAGAGTTCTGTATCTACAGATTCATTGGATTTTCGCTTCTTCTGTGCCTATGAACAAATGCAAAATTTAGTCCCTGTACAATTTATACACAGAGCAGCAAAAAACACTTCGATAAATTTGCATGGGTTGTCATACTCCTCTAATTTTGACAGTGATTTACACATGATTAGCAAATAAACTCTCCAGACGTAACTGTGTGTTTTCCAATAACATTCACATTCTCATTTGAATTTACAGCAAAATTTCAACCCTGCAACTAAGGGTACTCAGTAAGTACAATGATGAGTGCCATCAGCTGCAGAGAATATGCTATCTTCTGTGGCCCATTAAAAATGGGGCTGGAGAAGAGATAAATAATAAAATGGGGCATGAGAAGAAATAAAACATGACAGTTAATAATTACCATAATAGCACTACATATGAACAAATAATCTATCATATGCCTCAGTTTTAGGAAAATATACAACACTGGAGTATTTTATCCTTAATGATTTTTGCAGTTTTCCTAAGTATTATTATAAGAAGACAAACACAATGTTAATATATTTCATGGCTGCCAGAGAATCTCCTACAAAGTTACAAAAAAGAACATTTAATGTCTTCTAACACACGTACTTCTAAGTCAAATTGAACTGTTCACTTACATTGCACTCACTGATCATCACAGATGGAATATTAATAAATGCAGGAATACTTTAGAGAATAAAAAACTAAAAAATGAATCTGCTATATCCTCAGCCATATCCTATGATGAACAACCATCCATTGAAATTACTGCATGTTTTTCACACTGACTCAAGTAAGAAACATTTCAGGTGGCATCATACAAAATGAAATCAATAGCATGAACTCAGTCTAGCACCAGAAAGTGTTTAATATTTGCATTGATCAAGTGAACATGACTGAGCTGGGCATTTTCTGCTTTTCTACAATAGCAATACTAATCCCCATGGTGCACAAGACATTTTCAATAAACAGAGATGTGGCTGACTTCAGAACTTCAGAGATTCTCAATATCAGCTCTTTCTTTGTATATTCCAGGAACATGAACAGCACTCTTTTATAGAAGCTAACCATGTTAAATATAAATCAAGTCTTATAACAGAAGACTTGGGTTTATGCACTGAAACTACTGACTGAGCTGAGCATGTCTGATACTTCCACCTGGAAGTTTTGTTGGACTTTCAACTTATTTCCTACAAAAAAATGTACCGTGTTGCATTAGTTCTAAAGTGCAGAGTCTCACTGGTTTTGACAGTGATGGACTGGACTAAAGCTGACGTGAGATAGTGCTGAGCATTCTGATTTTATGCCCTCAAAAATTCTGTTCCACATACAGCTATTTTATTTTATATCTGAGAGCCACTGGTACTGCCTATGGATACAAAATAATCTTTCACCTAATTTTAGAATTAGGTCTTTAGATTTTAGAATCCAAGTGAAGGAACTGAACTTCTCGTTAGGAAACACATTCTTTATTTATCATGATAAATAAATATATTAAAGACAACTAAAAAAGTGAAACAGCCGGGATTTAGGAGGAAGACAGCTTAGCTATAGTACGAACACATACTATATATGTTGATAGTTTTCAAGTACATGACAAAATAATAGCTCAATTCATTAATAAACACGCTCTCTTACATACCCTTTCTACTAATTAGTACCATTAAAGTGGTTATGGTAAGCATAAATTTAACTGTCTAAAGAGAAAAAGAAATGCCTGGAAGTAAATTTGCAACAAGAAGAAGCAACACAGTGAAGACTTACTGCTGTGTTTGTATTGGTGGTTTCATTGAAACTTCTTTTAATGGCAACTTGGTAGATTTCAAGACCTAAATGACTGGCTCCAAGGAGATGGGTAAAGGAGAAACTAATTTAAATCCGAATTTTCTTATGTCTTAAACACTCATACTACCTTGAATCAGAATGTGAGACAACAGATAAAGCCTTAGGTTCTTGACAGTGTAAATGTAGGGATCATACAAGCCTCGTATTTCTTAGTGCATCATTCAGTGCTAAATTTCTTAGTCACACAAGTGTCTGTTTACTGGAAACACTGTGCTTTGCTGTTTACACCTCCTGTGCTAACTACAAGTTTACACTTGGTAGTTGGTCTCAACACCAAGTTAGCATTTCTATTCCTTTTGTACTATGCTTACCAAATGAGAAAAGAGAGGAATATCATTATTTTACCCATATGCAGTAAAGTCTTCCTTTACTCCATTCAGCCTGATAAACAACAGAGTGCAGCAGCTAAAACATACTTACCTTTGAGTACACCATGCTAAGGGTAAAATCAACAGCTAGGAAAAAATCACCATAAAAAAAAGCTTTTCAATCATTTTGATCAACATTCTCCAGCCTTCATTTGGAAAGTGATACTTCATTGTATCCATATTACTGCAGTCATTGTAACATCAGCAACACTTATTCACATGCATCCTCTATTATAAAGTCCTCCTCTCTCAGAATTGAAAAGCAATTTTAATAATCAGGCAAGCTTTTCTCTTATCAAAACAGAAGGGACAATACCTTCTCTTTAAAAATACAGCAAAAAATGCAACCTCTTGTTGGGGGGAAAGCAAAGGCAAAGGAAAAAACTGTCATTTTTTTGGATGAGATGAGACATTATATGCCAAGTTTCAAATTGGAAGAGTACGTTTTTAGTGTTGAGTTATAAACCTGTAAGAACAGGTTATAATGGAAATACTGGCATAGGCTGCACTACTATAATACAATAGTGCATCACTAAATCACAAGTAATGGGCAAAACAACCCAAACCTACATGTTGAAGAGACTGCTATAGAAAGTGTATGCCCTTTACTTACAGCCGAAGGGGAAAATTCTTCCTGCCCTACCCTCGGGCACAAACAACTCTCCACATAGCAGAATCACTCTCTAAGTGCTACAGTAAGTGAACAATTTATCAGATGTAAAAAGAAGTCAGGGCATGGAGGCTATGCTGATAGCCTTGGTGGAAATACACCCAGACTGGGAGACATGCATTGGAATCATAGAGAATATCCTCAGCTGTCAGATATTTCACATCTTCCATATATAACATCTTCCACTATCCTAAAAATTTAAACATTAGAAATGAGTGTCTATCACATACAACCGCAGACAATTCTAACAAGGAAAAACTCATCAATAAATTGGGGAAATGAGGGTTGTTCATTATGCAAGATGTCAAAGATTCACTGCCAATCCCCATCTCAGGTATCCTATTTGCCTAACATACAGGCAAGAAGGTACCTCCAAATGTTCTAGAAGTACCTAACTCCACAGGAGTAAAACAGCACACATTAAATTGTGTGGCTAAATTGTCCATATTCAGAAGTATATTTTTTTAAATTTTAATATAAAGCTGTTATCTGGTGACAGAAAGATCTGTGGGGATTCCATCATTAAACAAAATACAAGCAGGGCTGGGCTGATAAAAATAATTTTTTCAAAAAACCTGATTGAAAATCAGCTTAAAATAAGTGGCTAAGTCTACGGAAAGACATATGAGATCTTTCCTACTGAGGTTAAATAGCATTTGCTAATGACTTACATAGTGAGCTGTGACATGCCTCAGACTGTAAAACAAAGTTACAAAAGATGGGTTGACACTCACTCCAGCTTTGCAGGGAACTATGATTCAGTAATGTGAGCTACTCTGATGAAGCTGCCAACAGGCTTGAACTCACTTAGGCTTTTATATTTTGTAAAAATGAACACCACCTTTTCCAGTGAAAGTCTTCATTGTAGTAGCACAAGCAACAGATGATATTTAGAGATAATCATATACATGCACCTCCTGATGAGCTTCAGTATCCTGTCTACTAATCACACACAAGCTTTGTTTCGGTCTCTCAACCTTTAGTTTTTAATATTAGAACTAAAATATTACACTTGGTCAAGGGCTAGTAGAGAAACAAACTGCATGGCCAGAAAAGAAAAAACTCTCATGATGAGAAGCAAAATTTTACTATTTCTTTCCTAAAAGAAATTTTACTTATTTCTTTCTTTTCCTAGCAAGAAAGGTAAATTGGGACCAGCAGAAGAGCTGTGGTTTTCTGAAAGGAGAAAGGAACATTGCCTATAGAGATATTTCACTTTCAGATGACTCTGTGGACCTCCACATGCATGATCCCAATGCATCCTGGGTCAGTTAAGTCGTATGTCCTTGCTGATACACACCCTAACTAGTCTTCTCTTGCCCTTCACCTAATAACTATTATAAGACCATCCTAAACCTAGTAACTCTCTGCTTTCCATCCCCCAAATGCCTCTACCTCCATCCCTTGCAGACACTGTGGCCCTGAATTTATGCCCAGAAATGCTATCTTGCAATTATGCATCCAGCTTCTGCAAATCACAGCACTACATGGTTAATAAATGCATTAAACACTGCAGCAGTATCTCACCAGGAGTCAGTACACACATTTATGGCTTGTCAGCCAGCAGTATTTTTATATATCCACTACAGCATGAATTTCTGTTACCCACACCAAGGAAAAGGTCTGACTGGGGATGGCTCCAAACAGAGCTGAGCTTTACTCTGGAGGGAAGGAAGGGAAGAAGGATGTAAAGGGAACTGAATGCATTGGATCTGAATGCAAACAGGCACAGAGTGAGCATCCAAATTCAGAAACTAGTCCCTTTCTGTTAGCTACACACTTTGAGTCTTATGGAACACATGGTTTAGACATTACAGCAAGAGACAACAGAAGCATCATTACAACAGATATCTGCCTAGTAGGTTGTTTTTACAGCTAATTTTAATGAGTGTGCCTTTGTCCTCTCCCGAGATGCCTGGTTAGTTATGCCCATATTAACAAGCCTTTCTGAAGAACACGGACAAATCTCCCAGACTACATCCTTCAAATGACCACATTTCTGAAGTAGCTATAACAAATGAGGGTGCTTGTCCTTTTTTGTTCTTCTCCTTGTGTTGATTAGAGAGATTTACTATGCAACTAACCTGTTTTTCCAACAGCAGGACACAAACAATAAGCAGAGATATATACAGACTGTAAAAAGGCAATCAGTTTAACT